GAATAAGGCCTTTTCTGAATTTTGACAAATATGATCGGATCTCTCGGTAAAACTTTTTGTTGTGACTCCAACAGTGATAATCAGTCGGAGAAGCCCGTCCCCCATCACCCCCAACCCCCAAAAAACGAAAAACCCCAAAAATTACCAAAAATTAGGTAATTATGTACTACAAAGTTCACCCCACAACCCAAACCAAATTTTAGTTTTAAATCAGAAATAGGTTTGGGTTAGGTTATATCTTCTGGAAGTGGAGCCCCCCTTTAGGGGGGGGGGCGGAACCCACTGTGTCCACGCATATAGTTTACAAAGCAAAGCGAGGTCCACCCCACAATTGTTGTGTGGATTGGAATGTGTATGCGTAGACGCAGTGGGTGCAGTCCCCCCCCCCTACGGGGGGCTCCACTTCCGGAAAGATATAACCTAACCCAAATCTATTTCTGATTTAAAACTAAAATTTGGTTTGGGTTGTGGGGTGAACTTTGTAGTACATAATTACCTAATTTTTGGTAATTTTTGGGGTTTTTCGTTTTTTGGGGGTTGGGGGTGATGGGGGACGGGCTCTAAACATAAAAAGTCCGTAAAAAAATTTGCAGCCCATTTGCAGATGGAGCCGTGATTCTGAATAATTACCTAATCTATTCCTTACATTGATGTTACAACACGGAATATATTACATAAAAAAATAATAAAAAGGACATAAAACTTTTATAGTTAAAAACATATTATTTTTATCAAAAATCTTTTAGACTACAATATATAACATTAAAAAATGTTAATTTTTTTATCAGCAATAAATATTTCTGATTTTATTTAAAAAAATTTTATACTAAATTCTCTGCTATAAAAGATATTTATAGCAAAAGAATGATTGTAGAAATTGTATACATATTATCGAAATTGCTTAATATTTATTAAAGTTCTTTTGGGTACAGTTCCGAAAACGATAAACCTCCGATTGCGCTAAAATTTTAATCAAAGCTTGTCCTTGACTTGAGTATAAAGTACCTTGAGGGTTTTTTGCCGACGAAGCCCTGTTTGCCTCCTATGTCCCCTCAAAGTTCCAAACATTTTTACTGTATATCACCAAAAATATTGATTTTAGAGAAGAAAGTTTCAAACAAAAAATAAAGCTCTTAAAAAACTGAATAAAAAAGGTTATGTACATTTTTTACGTAAATCTATTATTTTGGGTGTTATGTAATAAAATAATAATTTTAACGCTTTCGTGTAAAAATATATTGTACCAATGTGTCTAGTTCTTTGCTAGTGTAGCCCCCTCCCCCCGTAGGAGGGGGGGGGGCGGAACACACTGCCTCCACGCATACACTTTTTAATGGGAAGCGAGGTTCCACGGGTTCCATGGGTTTACAAGTTTTCACGCGAAGCGAGGTTCAATCCAAACCAATGTGTCTAGTTCTTTAGTAGTGGAGACCCCGGGTAGGGGGGACGGAACACACTGCCTCCACGCATACACTTTTTAATGGGAAGCGAGGTTCCACGGGTTCCATGGGTTTACAAGTTTTCACGCGAAGCGAGGTTCAATCCAAACCACTTTGTAGAGTTTTTAAGGGCTTCATTTTTTGTCTAAAACTTTTTTTCGTAAAATCAATATTTTCGGTGATATACAGTTAAAATGTTTGGAACTTTGAAGGGGCATAGTGGGCAAACGGGGCTTCGTCTGCAAAAAACCCTTAAGGTGCTTTATACTCAAGTCAAGGACAAGCTTTGGTTAAAATTTCAGCGCAATCGGAGGTTTATCGTTTTCGGAACTTTATCCGTTCTTTCTTATTCAAAATTAAACTAATGCTTCAATTTCAGCTTAATTTGTATACGACGAACATATTTCTTACCTTTACATGGACAAAAACCTTTGCAGGCAATGTGGACGGAAGTATGGTGAATGCAGTTATGGTACTCGAGACGGCATGGCGAACTGTATGTACGATTGTCGTTTCCACAAAGGAACGTAGGCTTCACTACGGGACATTCTTGGCATCTGTAACATAAGAAAAACATCAACGAGCGCTTTAAATGCCTGGCTGTCGATACACGTATGTACGTATCTAGAAATCAATTTAAAATAAAAGTTCATTTACACTTATTCGTATTTCCATATTATATTTTATATCGTTCTAGCAAGATCGGATGTGACTATACATATATCCAGATTGCATTTGTTTTTAATATAAAAATGTTATTCAGAAAAGAAGATGCTCAAGTTCTTTCGTCAACTCTTGTGAAGCTTCCTACTTATAAATACTGATACTGATAAATTATTTACAGCTTTTTTTATCCTGACAAGGAATTCATTTTACCGCTTAAAATACTCTACAACTGCAATCCAATAATAAGAATCTTCTCTACAGTAAAATAGGCGCATTAGAATATTGACACGCTTAAAGGTCTATTTACATTTATCCGTTTCGTATCTGTAACGTGTACGTCCATGCACGGATGCTAGATTCGATTCCATATGATTAAGCTCCATTTACACTTATCCGTTCCGTATCCGTACCGTATTCGTACTGTGCACGTTCGTGCACGGATGCTCGATTCGATTTCATATGATTAAATAGAAGTGTTTATACTATTCCGTATTCGTACCGTCATTTAATCATATGGAATCGAATCTAGCATCCGTGCACAGACGTGCACAATACGGATACGGAACGGATAAGTGTAAATAGATCTTTAATCATATGGAATTGAATGTAGCATCCCTGCATGGACATGCACGGTACGCATACGGTACGGATACGGAACGGATAAGTGTAAATGGATCTTTAAATGACGGTACGGATACGGAATAGTATAAATACTTCCATATGATTAGATGCAACTATTTATGCTATTCCGTATCCGTACCGTCAGTGTCCGTGCCGACATTGCCGATATTGTTCGCGACGATATTTTGACGGAACGGACGGAACTGAACGTACCAGTACTGACATGTACGGACAAGTATAAATACGCTTCCGTGTAGCGTTCAGTTTTTTGTGTCTTATTTTGTATCAGTCCGCGACATCGAGAGCACGATAAAAAATGGACAATGAAAAATTAATTAAATTAGTATGACAACACGTCGAATTACATGATCTGTCGCATTCAAAATATCTTGATGGAAATCATAAAGAAAAGATATGGAAGAGTATTTCTCAAGAACTTGATCAATCAGATAATTTTACTCACTACAAATATTATTTTACAAGTAAATATTTAAGTTCATTACCAACATCATTTTATTTCAAGAAAAAATACAATTCTCATTTATATATATATATACTAATCAGCACGTCAGTGAGCCGCGCGCCGTGAAGTGTGTGCTGCCGCATTCTACCAGGCGCGCGGCTCACCGACGTGCGCCCGGCTAAAGGTCGGTACTGATTGGCCAGACTTTACTCAATAATTAAGTAATTAAATAATTAATAAACTCCTTTATTAAGCGTTATAAAAAAAATGGCTCAGGACTTTTCGTCTCAGTTTTTGGTAAGGAATAACGCTATGTACTTAGTGGGCGGTCATTGCGGGTCATCCTGTATATATAAGATTTATATATAAAATATATTAATAACTGATTATTAAGAAATAACATATATTTTTAATTAAATTCTTTCATTCTGTTATATAAGAGACCCAGCTGAAGAATTAAAAAATTTCGTAAAAGTTTCTCTTACTGCAAATGCTACTTGCGTACTGTTTCCACCGCGAGCATTTAGATTTTGCAATATTGTCTGGTCTTTAGCTCTGCTAGTATTAACTTCGAAATTAATAGTATAATTATTGTCATTTTCTTTAATAAAATTGTGTAGCACACATGTTGCAAGTATAATAAAATCAACATATTCGGGTTTGGATTGAATTCGGCGATTATAAATTCCAAAACGTTGTGTTAAAATACCAAACGTATTTTCAACTATCCTTCGAGCACATGACAAACGATAATTGTAAATTCTTTTATCATCAGTATCTAAATGCTTTCCGGGATATGGCCTTAGAAGATACGGTTTTAGAGGAAAAGCTTCATCACCGATTATAACATAAGGTGCTTCAATTGCAGTACCAGGCAGAAGCGTATCATTCGGAACATTTAATGTTTTCTCTTCAAATCTTTTTCGCATCTCAGAACGTGCCAAAATGCCTCCGTCGCTGTTTTTTCCATACGCACCAACATCAACCATGATAAATTTATAATTGACGTCGACAAGGGCCATCAAAACAATGGAAAATGATTTTTTATAGTTAAAATATTCTGACCCACTGTTACACGGTGCTTGAATAATAACATGCTTGCCATCCAGAGCACCTAAACAATTCGGAAAATTCCATATCTCCTAGTATTCTGTTGCAATTTCGGTAAATATTGACAAAGACCCAGCCTCAATGACCTTGACCTTGACATATGTTGTCAAGGACATGTTCCTGAGTAACTTTCTAAAAGTTTTAGCCGTTGCTCGTTGTTTATCAAAAAGTTATTAATAAAATAAGTTTAACGAATCGAGCGTAATTTTCTGACATTAATATTAAGAAGTATACACAAACACACAATATATATGGCATGTGTGTGTATTATAAAGTGAAAAGATGGGTGGGGGACGTTTCTTACATGTACATGGTGTCAAAAAATTATATTATAATTTATTAACAAAATAAGTTTAATGAATGGAACGTAATTATCTGACACCGCGTACAAGAAGAAGTGTTTAAGAATCAGAAATCATAGAAATAGGTTTGGGTTAAGTTATATCTTCCGGAAGTGGAGCCCTCCCGGAGGGAGGGGGGGGGGCAGAACCCACTAAATCCACGCATACACTTTTCCATCCACACAACAATTGTGGGGTGGCCCTCGCTTCGCTTTGGAAAGTATATGCGTGGATACAGTGGGTTCCGCCCCCCCCCCCGCCGGAAGGCTCCCCTTTCAGAAGATATAACCTAACCCAAATCTATTTTTGATTTAATTTGTTTTATCTTTTTATTTTGTTAACTTTATTATTCGTTAACAAAACGATAACTTTAAACCTTTTGGACATGGGTTGGGTTAAGTTAATTTTTTTCGGGGAGGGGGTGCAGGGGAAGGGGCGGAGCCCTACGGGCTACGTACAGGCTACGGGTCGTAGCCTGCCCCCACGCACGAAGCTACACGTACACGCTATGACGTATCGGCTACGTCTGTGTTAGTAAGTCCCGTGGTAAGTGGTGGGGGCTCCCATTTCCCACGAACTGGCAACTCTGGCTGGGTCCCCTTTTGTCAATATTTACCGCAATTTCTTTCCATTTTTCTTGTGTTGGTAGTGGTATGACTTTAGACATTAATTCATCGATGATAGCTCTGCATATTTCAATTATTATTTTCCAAACTGTTGTGACTCCAAGACGATAACTAAATGAAATTGTTTTAAGAGAATCTCCTGTTACTAAAAATTTGAAATATTGATATAAGAATTTATTTAGTTATTTATTAAGCTTTACATAGAAATTACATATATATTAGGTCTACCGGAAAGTTCTGTCCGTTTTTGGAATAAAACAAAATACAAATTTTTATTACCGTCAATAAACTTTATTAAATAATGTAATTGCCAATTCGGATGAGCGGCGTGTGCCCGTCGGCCGTGCGACTTAATCTAACAAAAGATTCACCAAGTTAATTAACAAAAACGTGTGGCTCGACAACTATTAAGGGCGCGACTTATCCGAATTAATTACCTACAAATAAACGGCAACAAAATCTGGTTGGCGACACTCGTCCCATCGGCAGGAGGTTCTCGAATCTTCTTCTTGCTCGAAATTTTGGATACGCTCGAAGAGGCCTGCGTCCTTCTCGCTATCTCGCCGAACAGTGCCGAGCGAGAGTCCTGCAGGAGACACGCCGGCGCGATAAATCGCTATCGTGCCACCTGTGGCGCTTTCGCGTTACGCAGGGCCGTCCTGCGGTCCTCGCGATCCTTGTTGTCCTCACGGCCGTATTGGTGGATTCATCGCCACGGAGTTTCCAAGATTTTCTGTTGTTCGGTTTAAAGGTGCGGGCTTACGGCTGCGCCCGATCGGCTCTCTTTCCTATCTGGTTGGATAGGTTCCGGATTTGAAAGTCCGCTCGCCGCCCCGTCCTTGGGACTCCCTCGCTTCGTGCGGGTGGAGTGGCCGCCCCTTTGGCCGGATTATTCCGGCCCTCCGCGCTCCTTTCCTGCCATAAGAAATATAAATTTACCGGCAGCGATGTTTGTCAGCCATATAAAATGTTTTTAATATTAGACAACTACGACCTGACGTCTCCTGTTTCCTGGGTGTC